GCAATAACCCCTGCTAGCTCCCTCAACACCCTGGGGTGGAGAGCATCTGGACCTGCTGACTTGAACACGTCCAGCCCCTCCAGAAGCACTCTAACCCGGTCCTCCTCAACCTTAGGTCTGGAGGCGTTCCCCTCGAGTCCGTCTTGAAACACGGTGGGGGAGTCCCTGTCCCTGAACAAGAAAACGGAGGTGAAGAATTTGTTAAAGAGGTCTGCCTTCTCCTCTGGCGCAACCACCAGATTGCCCAGCGACTCTTGCAGGGGCCCCACATTTCCTGGTGCCTTCTTCATCCTCCCTATATATTTGAAAAAGGACTTTTTATTATCTTTGATCTTGGACGCTAGTCCTAGCTCTATGTCTGCCTTAGCTTTCCTAACAGCCCCCCTACAAGCCTGAGCAGTGGAGGTAAAATCTTCTTTGGAGATCACCCCCGCTTTCCATCCTGGACTTCCTTGGTGAGCCAGGGAGGCTTTTGGGCACTCTTGCCCTCCTTGCTTCTTGTTGGGATTGTCACCCCTTGGGCCCTGAGTATCGTCTCCTTAAGGAATGACCACTCATCTTGGGCACTGAGTTCCCCTGCCCTCAAGAACCCCAGCGCCTCTCCCACCAATCTCCTCAACTCGTTGAAGTTGGCCCTCTTGAAGTCTAGGGCTACCACCTTGCTGCAGGCCAATATGATTGCATGTAATGTAGTGATGTTGCAAATGATTAATTCTTTCATCAGTTCTCAGAGGCCCCTTCTTGAAGGACAAAACAATGCAATTTGCAGTCAGGCCAGTCAGTAAAGATAGCTTCACATGACTGAAAAGCTCCAAGACACAAGATGATGTGTAAAGACAGGCTAACTGCCTAGGTATTCGTATGGGGAGAGTTTAGGCTAAAATATAACCAGTTAATATGGCTTCAGTTATGGTAACCTAAAACTTAATATGAGCTTTCAACTAAGGTAAGCTAACCCAACTAAGTTAACACAATGGAAAAACTTGCCCTCTTTGCCACTCAAGAAAGTACCTTAGAAACAAAATTCAACACACTATTGGATGCTTGTATTTGGATTGTTGGCATCTATGGTTTTTGGATAGGGGTGTGCTGATGGTGTACAGATGTCATCTTGTCACATAACACAACACATTCTTCTCCAGTTAAAGAGAAACTAGAAGTTTTACTAATATAATAGGAGGCTAGCACAATGTATTTCATTTTCCTTTGAGCTTAAACTAAATAATATAACTATTGGAATGTGCACCAATTTGAGTGAGTACACATACTAGCCAACTGCCCGTCAAGAATGACAGGGGGTTGCGGGGGAGGGGGCTGGGATGTAGTGCTGCTACCTATTGCCCCATGCTGCCGCCTGTTCTGCCTCTTCCAGGGAGTGGGATGGGGCAACAGTGGCCAGCGCTGCTGGCCTCTGCTCCCCCACCCCATCTGGTCCTCGAAGCCGCTTGCAGGGAGCGGGGTGGGGGAGCCGAGGCCAGCAGCCCCCCCACCCTCTGTCCGGTCTTCAGTGTGGCTTCAGAATCATGGCAGCGCTCCCCCATGCTTGGAGTACTCTGGCTGTTTCTGTTAGCCAATCAGAGCACAAATAGTGTTACAGATGGACAGACTTGGGCTTTTATAATATTTTGTGTGTGTGTGTGTATTAAAATAAAAATAATTTAAAAACCCAGAGGAAAAAATACTCCAAAGGATAGTGTTTCATTAGTCCTGTAGTCATTACAGTTAAAGGTATATCTCTTCTTCAGGTTCATAAAGCAAAATCTAGCCTTCTTGAGTGTCTTGATGGTGCCTCCAATACTTTACCATCAGTCATTTCTACACTTGAGTTACTATTATCACACTTGAAGGCAGTGCTGGATTTAGGCACAAGCTAAGAAAGCTGCAGCTTAGGGCCTCACATTATGAGGGGCCTCTAAGCTAACCCCCAGATCAGAAGTGACTGCAGCCCTGCAGCGCCAGGTGGAGAGGCTGTGACTCCTCCCTCAGGGCCCATAGCAGCGGTGGTTGAGGTTGAGGCTCATCCCTCCCCCTGCCCAGGGGCTGGAGATATCTTTACCTGTACTCCAGCCGGAAATGCCGGCCACAGGGCTCCGCATGGTGGTCTGCAGTTTGCTGAGCCACAGCCACTTACGGTCTGAAGTTTTCCAGGTCGCAGTGTAGAAAGGTTGGGAACCCCTAGTTTAGGGTCCCACAGTGTCATAATCTGGCCCTGCCTAAAGGTTTTAGCCAGAGTTAAAAACAGACTGCAGGGCTGTAAAATAAGAGACAGGCAGCAAAACTTCAAACCATTTTTTCTGCATAGTGAAACATCAAGACCATTAAAAAGGGATAGAGGATCATTAACATGTATGGAGTGGAAAGAGATTAACAAGAGTCGGGGAGATGATGATAATAAGCTATAAAGTCAATTGACTCTCAGCACTACCTGAATAGAAGTACTGCTTCCCCTCCCAGGCAGTTGATTTTAAAGTTTGGATGGAATAAGAGTCAAGCCTGCCCTCCCTACATCCACTCCTGATTGCTAGTAACTTGAGAAATCAGTGTATTATATTTTGTATAAGAAAACATGTTTCTACTGTGAAATGTGAAGAATTGTGACAGACTGTAACTTATATTCAGAATTGGAAAAGAGTGGTAAGACAGGCGACCAGCGTCTCACAGCCTCTTGAACAATGATACTGCGCTCAGGATTCCAAGTGCCTTATGAGAAGAGCCGGAAAAGACCTAGGAAAAACAAAGAAAAAATAAAAGCTAAAACTAAATTCTTCCAACAAAAGCAGAGTGAAACATGTCCATATCGGAATAAATCACCAGGTAAATATGACGGTAAACTTTTTTACTTCAACTGAAGGGTACTCTGAACTCGGCACTGGAGTCTCAGCAGCTCTCTCTCTCAGTGGGAGAGAAGACGGTGACAAAGGCATAGTTTTGAAAGTGAAGTATAGATTTGACGTAACATTTTTGCTTACAAAATACTTTACTTCAGTAGGACCAGGAAGAGACACAGATCAGCTAGAATATGCATAGTTTCTCTCATGTACAGTTTCTATTTTCCTTTCTCTGCTCCCTCCTTCTGTTTTTCTTTGCATTTTTATCATGTGCTTCAATGCTGGAAAATCCCCCGACTCCCCCATTCCAGAGCAAAGGTACAGGCACCTTTAGTCATTGACATGAGGAAAACATGAGGGGAATGAAGTAAAGTGAAGTTCTTGCATGCTTGAAACTCTCTGACCTATGGTATTACTGCAGGCTCAGGCTGAAGATAATCGAGTCTCGTATCTTGCCAACTGTGTGTGTTATACTTGGCTTTCTCTTTGAACTTGGCTTACTTGATTGTAATGTTTCTTTAGTGCACTTAGCTAAGAAAATCTGAAGTCTTTGATTAGTGGTAGCTGGTGTTCAGAGTTGTTGGAGCTATAAGGAGACATCCAGAGGTATAGGGAGCTCGATGAATGACTGGTGGGGGAAGGGGTCATTGACATGGGTATGCCAACCACAGCAGGGTGCAGCAGCATGGGTGAGGGCAAGGGAAATCTTAGCTCTCTGGGCTGCTGCTGCCACTGCTCAGCATCACGAGTCTCAACTCTTCCATGGCCATGCTTCCTTACAGCAGATCCTGGTTCCCTGTTTGCTTCCCCTACTCTGTACATACATATTGGGAGCAGGGCTGTGCCTGCTCTGGCAAAGTCTCCCCAAAAAGGGAAAGTACCATTCTGTTTACTCCATTGCCCCCAGATACGCTGCTGGGTACAGTGCTGGGCAGAGGTAGTATAGGGTTTCCCTCGTGGGGGAGGAGAGTACCATTCTGCTTGCCCTCTGCCCACCTGATATGCTGCTTGCTACGCAGGGCTGGTGTAATCCTACAGGCAGCACAGGTGCACACCTAGGGCAGCAAATTGTAGGGAGTGGCAAAAAAGGTGTTCTGGGAAGGCAGGTGCTCAACCAGGCTTGGCATGACACTGCCTCCCAGAACAAATGCTCCTCCCAGAATGAAAAGGGAGGGTGGCAAAATTTAGTTTGCCTAGGACAACAAAAATCCTTGTGCCAGCCCTGTTCGTGGAGTGCTGTACTGCACAGTTTCTCTGGTGGGCAGGGGAAGCACAGAGCCTTCCCTGTTTCAGCAAAAGCTCCCCGCACCCTCTTGTAGTCAGCCCGTGGAAAAAGTGCCCTCTCATCCCATTCTAGTTACACTGGTGAAGCAATCTGCCTCATACTCTTGTCCCACAGATCTGATTTTATTTTCAAAATGCAAAATTGGGACTCTGTACTCAAAGGTTTTAAAGAAGAGTATTTTTATGTAGAGGTAAGGGAAATTGCTGGGGAAATGGACAGAGAAGGGGATGCTTTCTTTGCTCTGTTACCCTTCCCCTTTTAGACTGCAAAACTGGAACACTTTTTTCACAATGAAGCTGGATGCAAGAAAATAGTATTTATTCTCCTCTTGGTGTTTTCTCTAATTCCAAACCTTTTCCTATACATCTTAGCTCTTTATTTACCATTCACATTACCATCACTCCCCACACACCCCTAAACTGATTAACCTATGTTCTCATTCATCTACTGACACCATTTCACTCCACACACAGCTCTGCTGCTTAACCCCTAATCTTTTTTCTGGCTCATATCTCCCCAAACTCAATCAGTTTGCTTCAGTTCTGCCATCCATCAAATCCTGAGGGCCCATATCCCCACATCTAGCTCCAGACTAAACAGTACTCAATTTATTAGTTAAATTCTGTGTGGATTAGGACTTCCCTCCTTCACCATTACTCTCAACCTTCACATACATACCAAATGTCTTGGGGGTGCATATATTTCATGTCACATCCTCTGCATGCCAAAAAACATGTTCTTCCAGTTGCAAAACCCTTCCTTCTGCTTCTAACATCACCAGGCTTAGAAGCTCAGAATTTTTCCAATTACTTCTCTCTTTGTTTGGAAAGGCAGAAGCAGGAAGGGTAATATAAAAACATGGCATCTCCCTGCAGCCAGTATGTTGCACAGACCCAGTCTCTTAACATAATTAGAATGCAACAAAGCTGGAGGGGTTGGAATAGCTTCAAGCTCTCCAGTGTCCTCCCCACCAGATGACATTAGTTGACATTATACCTTGAATTACATACTATATTGTTATACATTGTCAGGTGAGGTTTAGTTCCTAATAACTGTAGGCCACAAGCAGGCCTAGAGTAGTAGGAGTTAAAAGGCTATAGTTTTAGGCTAGGAGCAGACATTACATATTACACAGTTTAAGTGATCAGAAGCTAGTTTAAACCTGTAACAGAACAGATGTTCAGTGTACATAAGCCAGTTTGAAAATGGCTGAAACTAGTTTGAGATAAACCTGGTTGAATGTAGTATCAGACATAACTGATTTGGGTCAAACTGATTCATGCAATGTCTGTCCCAGACTCTTTGCTGGTTTAAGTCAAACCAAATACCCCCAGCATGTGCTCTGGTCTGGTTGGGGCTCTCTGCTTCACAGCAGAGCTGGCCCCTCCACTTTGCTCCCTGGGTGGAGCTCCGGCAGAGACTTGCAGGCACAGCAGGGTCTACTGGCTTCCCTGTGCTCTTCATCCCCCACCTCTCACCACTCACTGCTTAAGCAGAGATCTCTTCCTCCTCTCTTCCACAGCATGGACTGTAGCCAGCATGTGGTATGCTAGCTAATGCTGTGTAAGACAGATAGGACAGTGTCCACTTAGGGCTTTTTGGAGGTGATCAACAGCTCAGCTGGTAATGTCCCTGCATTCCTTCTTTTGGAAAAAGCTGTTTAAGATGAACTTGTAATGAACAAGTCTTTGTTTTCTGATAGCGTGTTAAATGCTGGTTACAGAGCTGATAAATGCTCTGTTATCAAGGGATGGAACCCCTCCCCAATCACAGTGTCCTGCTGGGGCCTGGTCATGCCCCCCTCAGCTTGGCCCTGTGCAAGGAAAGGGAGGGCTGCTCTCACGTCCCCTGGCTTCTAGCCTGAGCCACTGCAGGCATGTGCCTGCATTTCTGGGATGTCTGTCTGGGTACAAAACTGATTCAGTCTAGCCAGGTTAGACTATCCTGCAAAGATTGAATTGATTCAGACTCAGGCTTTTTGAATGTTTGTCCCTAGGCTTAAAGTTCTGTGGAAGGCAACAGAGTACATCAGCATATCTGAAATCTGTTCAAGAATATCCCAAGATGGATAGAATCAGTATGAACTGGGAGAGTAGGTAAAGAAAATGTGGCAATACAACCAAAGCTAGATAAAGGCATGTAATAACGTAATTATGAAGGGCATTAATTAGCAAATTAAAAGATGGACAATGGTGAATGCTTGAGGTAAGGACTTCTAGTGTACAGAAAAAGTACAACAGAAATGCAGTTTGGGTTTGTGTTTAATCTGTGCTAGCCATCCTGTTGGCAGTCTGATAATTGGGCTCACAGTCTGAATCAAGGCTATACTGAGGATGTAGACAGGCATTACATTTCTAGTGGGAGAAATAAATGCTGCTCTCCCCTTGACATTGTGAACATTTATGCAGTTTTGTGCAGAGGAAACCTGATGGATCTACATGAAAGATGTTCCACTGCTGATGAGGAAGATCTTGCCTGTATGAGTTTCTTGGATCTGTATGCTATGCTTGACTCCTGGATACCAGGAGGAGCTGAGCAGCAGCTTCCCTTGTACATTCCCCAGACCAGGGTTACCTGGTAAGGTACAGGGAGCATCCCTGCTTCTCAACTTCTCCCTGGGTGACCCTGGTTTGAGGAAGGCATGGGGGAGAGGGGGGCCATTTCCCTGAGCTCAGCCTCAGTTTGCCCACAGGGGAGAGGGGACAACTGCAGGCTGGGACACCTGCATGCCTACTTCTTGCTAGTATTTCTATTGCTGTAATTTTCTCTGAAAATTTGCAGCACTAGAAACACACGCCATAATTTATAATGCCTAAGTAGCTGCTCCATGCTTAGTTGAACTGCATTGTGATAGGATGCATGGACATGATGGGTAGTCAATACCCATGTGTCTGTCTTACGCTCAAGACCAAAATTACTGACAGTTTGTTTTTCCTCATCAGAAAAGCAAAACACAGTCAAACTCCAAGGTACATCTGTCCAGGCCCCCTCCACATAACTTTTGTCATGGTGCCTGCATTTTTATCTTAAGACATGTCTAGTCCTTTTGTAGCAAGAGCAATGATAACAAGCAAGAGAGTCCTGTAGGAATGCACTGTTTGTTATTAACTAATCTTTCAGTTTTCCTATGTGTACTAAAATTAATTAAACATTCATTTATGATCAGCATATAAACTTCGTGAAAGAAAGAAATGTTACATACAGACAGAGGATTCAAAAACCGTGCATTTTGACCTAGATGAGCATGGCCATCGTGAAATATCAGTCAAGGATACAGCATCTGATGAAGGTACAATTTTACTTTTTACATCCAGATCACAGGATGAATGTGACACTGCGACGCTGTGGTCAACAGAGCTAATAGTATACTGGGATGCATTTGCTGACGCATCACAAGTAGAGCTAAGGAAGTAATACTTTATATCTACTCGGTGCTGGTGAAACCCCAGCTGGAGTACTGTGTCCAGTTCTGGGCACTGCACATAAAAGACATGGAGAATCTTGAAAGGGTCCAGACAAGGGTCACAAGAATGATTAAGGACTCGAGTACAAACATACTGAGGAAAGACAAAGGGAGCTGAGACTGTTTAACCTGAGGAAGAGAAGACTGAGGGGGAATTTGTTGGCCATCTATAAGTGTGTAAGGGGAGAGAAACTGTTCACTAGGGCACCCCAGGGGAGGACAAGGAGCAATGGCCATAAACTGTTAAAGGATGGTTTCAGGTTGAATGTAAGGAAGAGCTTCTTTATGGTAAGGGTGACTACAATCTAGAACAGACTTCCCAAGGAAGTGATGTAGTCCCCAACCTTGGAAGTCTTCAAGAGGAGACTGAACAAATATCTTAAGGGCACTTAACACTTTCCCACTCCAAGTGTGATTTAACTTTATTTGTAAAGCAGTGATTTTAAACCAGGGTGCTGTGAGATCCTTTGAAGGGTGCCTCAAGGTGTGAGGAGATAAGCACAGGCTCTTGATCTGGGCAAATTCTCCAGGTTTGTTCTTCTGGGGAAAAACTTCCCCAGAGTCATGTATACAGATATTTGAATACTGAGGCCCCAAAGAACAGAAAGCTTGCAGTGCTGACACTATGCAGCTGGAAGGGGTGGGGGAAGAGGGGGGATCTGGTCCAGTGCACATATCTTAGCATGCTCTGCATGCTTCCTTAGTCTGTCTGGTGTCAGATGGCAGCAGAGCATAGACCAGCCCTGATTGGCTAGTTCAGGCTGCCCATGGTCAGCCTGTGTTTCCCTGCAGCACAATGTAGGGATTGTGAAGGGAGTATGTGCTGCTCCATGCTGGAGCAGCTGAGTCCAGCAACACACTGTTTCCTTGGAAGAGAGAGGATGCTGGAGGACTATGTTCTCTTCTGAAAGAAGCCCCAGCACATATAGACACTTGCTATCCAGAAGAAACTCTTTTGGGAGTGATTTAACCCTAATTGTTCCTAGGTTGTTTTTTGGGGTTTTTTTCCCCTGGACCAGCCATTTTTCCTTTGGGAGAAAAAGTGTGAACATCTTTACACTTGTGGTTTATCCTGGGAGAGCAGCAACTCTCCCAGGAGAAGCTGAATGTTTGTATGAGGCCTCAGACTTCTCTGCCTAGCCAGTCCCCATCCTGCCCCTTTCTAGGCCCTCTGCAAGGAAGTAAGCACTGTAATATAGTTTTGTTTTTTTTTAATTGGGTGCCACTTAAATCACAAAAAGATTGAGAACCACTGAATTAAATACTCACTCTGCCCTACTAATCCCTCTCTTCATGGATTTATGTCATAAAAGATTTATGTCACAAAAGACATTGAAGATAATTGTCAGATTTTGAATACAGATGTGGCCATGTGGTACACAATTCTAATTGTAGGTATAGAAATTCATAGCAACAGTAAATGCTTAGAAGAAAATTAAGTCTTATTCCTATTGGTATAACAATTGATATACCATATTTCATGGCATATAAGTTGGGTTTTGAAACCCAATTTTTGTGTCTTAAAAATCAAACTTGACTTGTATACTGTGTTATATCAGAAAATTGGGGCTGGGGCTGGGCTTACCTGGTGCGGCCCCATCCCCTGTGAGCAACACTGCCTGGGCCACACCAGCACTACTCGCAGGAGATGAGGCTGCGCCAGCTGAGTGCCAAGCCCAGCCCCGTCCCCTGTGAGTGGCGCCAGGCTCAGTGTTTGGCAGCACTGCTCACAACAGATAGGGCCAGGTTTGACACTCAGCTAGCACAGCCCCATCCCCTGTGAGCCCGGCACCACTCGCAGGGCGTAAGGATGGGGACAGGCATGGGAATGAGACAGGGCTTGGTGGCGCATGGCTGGAGCGGCCTCATCCCCTGCAGGCAGTGCTGCTCACAGGGAATGGGGCTATGCTAGCTGAGCACCGCTAAGATCAGCCCTGTATGCATCCCCATCCCCTACGAGCAGCACCAGGCAGCACTGGGCTTGGCTCTGCTCACAGGGGATGTGTACGGGGCTGGGCTCAGCACTCTGCTTGGGATGCAGGAGATGGGGACAGGCTTGGTGCTTGGCTGGCATGGCCCCCCTGTGAGCAGCACCGGCCGTGCCACTCACAGAGAATGGGGCCAAACGAGCTGAGCACTGAGCCCGGCCCTGACTTGCACACCGTGCCTATGAAAATCTTTACCGTTCAAATAGGAAAGCCAGGGGTCGACCTATACGCCATATCAACCTGCACACCATGAAATATAGTACTTGAAAACTAAATATTACACTGCTGAAGAATAATTTTAAATATTTTACAACAGGTATTCAGATTCTGCCAACTAAAAACTAACTACAAAATATATTACTCTGTTACGTTTTAGATATCGCATGGTTAGACATATTTACAAGCAGCGAACAAGGTAAGACCTTTATGACTAGAGCCCAAAGACTAAAATTATAGGGTTTTGAAAAGGATTGTTGAGGGTGAGAGAGAAAATTAGTAATGTTACAAAAAGGTACTGCTAATCCTTAATGATGCTTGCCTGTCCATTTACCTTAGCTTTTTTTATGGAGCCCAATGAAAGCAGTGAGCGTACACTTGGCAAATTTGCTGATCACACCAAGTTGGGTAAAGTGGAGGGTAGCACAGGATCCAGAAGGGCCTGGATAACTTGGAGCTATTGTCCAAAATCAATTGGATGAAATTCAACAAGGGCAAATGCAAAATCTTATGCTTGGAACAGAACAATCGCATGCATAAATGCACTGGAGAAGGGCTGACTTGGCTGAAGTACTGAAGAAAAGTACTTGGGGTTCACAGTGGACCATAAGCTGAATATGAGCCAACAACGTGCCCTTTTGGCAAAAAAGGTCAATAGTATACGAGGCTATATCAACAGAAATGTTGCATGCAAATCAAGGAAAACTATTCTCCTGCTCTATTTGGCACTGGTGAGGCCAAATAGTGTACTATTAATCTACAGCTGTTCTCCTGTATTTTCCTACTGTTTAGGAACTAATATTTTATGAAGTAAATCAAACTACTCCACAAATATAACTGACAGAACTTACTGCGATGCATTTCATTCACTTTTAGTAGGTGGATTTAAATAATATCTATAGTGCTTTTTATGCAAAGATTTTAAAGCATATTGTAAAGCAAGTTAATTTCTAGTGTTATAAATAATATACAATGAAAACTGAATATTGCCTCTTTGGAAGAATATTTTCTAGTTGCATTTTAATTCACCAAAATCAAATATGCATTAAATTACAAATTTATACTTTAGATATGGTACATGAAAATGGAACTAAAAAGGGTTGTAATGATTTGGTGACCATGACTCAGAGATCAAAATGTAATCATTTTCTCCTACTGAGTGAGAGCGAGAAACAACTAGATCTGAAGGTAAGAAATATACATTTATTATATCTTCCAGTGTTCTCTCTCATACCCTACTTAAAATTACCTTACCTCTCTATCCCTTTCAGTTTTCCCAAGACTCTGCATATGTTCTAAACTTGAGCGCATTTAATAGGGTAGATCAGTGATTCTGGTGCCTGGGCACACTGGTGTGCTCTCAAATCCTTTGAAGGGTGCCATGAGGTGTGAGAAGATAAGCAGCTAAATTAAGCAGATAAGCACAGGCTCAGGCTTTCCCTTTCCTGCAGGATTCTCCATCCCCACTTCCCAACCTCTCTGCAAGAAAGTAAGCACTGCAATATATCTATTAGTTTTTGAAATTGTCCCCCCCATCAATTCACAAAAGTTATGGAGGGATGTCCAATTAGAGGTGGCTGAAGTCCAGAAAGGGTTGAGAACCACTGGAGTAGATAAATAGAGTCAATTCCTCAGATTCCATCTTTAAAACACTTTTCTCTTTCATTGACAATTAACTTTCTGTAGAAAGCAACTTGTGAAGGTGTCTGGGGAAGGACACTCTACAAATTGTATTACGTTAACTATATTATCTCAATCAGTATTTCCTCCTCCCTCAAAGGACAACAACTTAAAACATTTATCTGTTTCAGCCATTAATTTGTCATAAATTGCTTACTCCAGGACATACTATGTAATCCATGAATTATTTGACGTTTGAGCTCTAACAATCTTACATATGAAACAAACTGTTTTGATGAAACAGATTATAGCATAGCAATTTCCTGACACTGTTTTAAAAATGGTTCCAGTTTACAATGAAAATAAAACACATTCTGTGACGGCCTGAAAAGTTTAGGAACCCTTTTTTTCTTCCTGCAAGATATGAGTAATTCTTTTACTCTAATAAGATTTCTTTGTTTCATTTGGACTGAGGTAGCAGCCCTGTATATGTAATATGATTTGAAGATACTGTTAAAATATGACATGAGTCATACACACTGCAATCTGAAACTGTATTTTACATAGACTGAAGTATTTCCTTTGGTAACTGGTCCCACTTAGTTCATTTTATAGAACTGGTGGTTACAAGGGCACAGGTCTTAAGAGGTGTTTAGGCATATAGCTCCTAAATAACTTTCAGGCACCTAAATATATTTCAGGATGTGAACCAGTCATTTAAAAAAAAAATCATTCATGTTGACCACAAAAGGTAATGACATAATTTTGTTTAGAATTTAGCCAGCAATCATCAGAAAAATCAGTGGTTAAAACAGATCAAATGCTAAAGCGAAATTAACCAATTCAAGTGGTTGGCATCACAGGTCTTGAATTCACAACCCATAGGACTCAGCATGGCAGCGTGCAACAATGAGGAGGAGCCAGACGCCCAACAGGTACATGGTCAATCTAATTAAACTCCATGCGTGTTTGTGAGTGTATGGGCATGGGGGAGGCCAGGGGATGGCACATCCTGTACAAGGGGTATAGTGAAGAAGTAGTACAACCCTGGTGATTACATCCCAATGATATAATGCACTGAGGCTGTTTTTTTTTTCTTTAAACATTTTATTCTGTGAAACAGAATACAGACAAATCAAGCTGTGCTACTTGTGAATTGGTCTTTTTGTAAAAGTGTATCCAGACTCGGAACACTTAGGTTTACAGTAGAACCTGTTGGAAGACAGGGAGAGGTTTCCCTGCAGGAAATCCAAGGGAAACTGGGTGGTCCCAGGCTCTTGAGCTACTAGAGGCCTCCTTTACAAAGATGAAAGTCCTTTTGTCTTCTATATTTTCAGTAGGAAAAGAGAGAAGGCCTCCTGTAAGAATGCCAATTTACAGGGAAGAAAATATCCCATTCTCAAAGGCCTGCCCTGCCCAACTCCCTCCCTCCCTCCTTCCATATGGGGGCATCAATTCCTCCCCCCACACCACATTTACCTGCTGTGGGAGCTGCTGTCCAGGCTGCCTGGTGGCCATGTGCATGGTACCTGCTGCCTGACTGCCCTCCTCCTGCTCCCCCCAGCCCCTTGCAGGGTGGAACTCTGCCAGCCTGTAGAGCTTTTTGTAAAAGATTAAAAGCCATGTATTTCTCTGTTAAAATGAAAAATGTGTGTTTTTCTTGGGTAAAGGGGAAAATTCACTTTTTTCCCATTTTTCCATGGAAAACAGAAAACCTGGATCCCTGCTGCTCATGTAATTGCTTCCTGCTAGGATTACTTGGCTCTATATAAAGAGAAGACACTGGAATTTGGGGCACTTCTGGTCCCTCCCTCATGGACAATATAAATTACTGAAGTCTTTATGGTCTCATTCTTCAAGGATGCCCTCCATTAAATTCTTCATAGAAGGCTGTATGGATTGCCATCTTGATGGCTCCAAGTCTGTAATGATTTATGGAAGGGAGCATTTCATCCCTCAGTTCGCTGTCATTATTGATAAATGAAATCCAGAAAAGGAGAAGCTGAACCCCTCAAAGTGTCTGGGAGTATTTGTGGGTTTATATATCCATCAAGATAGTAAACCAACATGTGATATGAGAGAGTTACCTTCATGGTTTCTTGCTAATGATTTAATGCGGAAAGAAGTCTGGAGCTATGTAATGTTAAAAAAGAGAGCTGCAATAAACAGAGTTTCTGAGCTGGAAACAATCAGACCTATGGGCAAAGGCCAGTGACTCTCAAAAAGGGTGCCTGGGTACCATGGGTTGCTGTGAAATCCTTTTGAAGGATGCTGAGGTGTGAGGACATAAGCAGATAAGCTCAGACCCAAGCTCTTCCCTGAGTGGCCACCCCTATTGCCTGGCCCCTCTACAAGGAGGTACACACTGCCATAAATAAATTTGTTTTTTAAATGGGGTTCAGATCAACTCACCAGAATTATGGAGGGATACCTTGAGTCTAATGAGGTTTACCTTGAGTCTAAAAAGGTTGAGAACCACTGGCCTAGGCTAATGGAAATTATATTTGCCAAATGAGAAGGCTGATATAGTAAAAGTTGTCATTGGGAGAAACTAAGAATTTCCTGAACTGAAAATGATCTACAGGACACAGGAGCACTCAAGAATGAGGAAGTTCCTTTAATAAATGACGACAAAACTCTTGCTATAATGTTTAACTTGGTGTGCAAGCTTGCATATTGTTAAAAGGGAGGTTTTAACTGCATGCTATCAATGTAATTAAAATTCCCTCCTTCAGTTTTATCACTACTATGATTAGGAATTCCAACTGTGTGTGTGCTGTAGCTAGTCCAGTACAAAGGGTTTTACAAATCTTACATCTTACAAATGCTTTTATCCTAAAATCCTCAATGCACAAACTAAGTCTATTCCATCTCAGAGGAAAGGCAACAAGAGGGCACAGCAGCCCCCCTGGCTCTCCAGGGACCTAGCAGACCTCCTGAGGCTAAAAAGAAAGGCCTACAAAGGATGGAGGATGGGAGTCACCTCCAAGGAGGATTATTCTGCACAGGTCCGGTCCTGTAGGGAGCACACCAGGAAAGCCAAGGCTGCAACTGAACTCCAACTAGCTTTGAGCATCAAGGACAATAAAAAGTCCTTTTTC